CTAGTGGCGTTGAAAACGCCACAACAATGCTTTTGTTGAGCCGTGCTCAAGGTCGGATTCAAATATCCGTACAAGCCCGAGTACTTTTGTTCTGTTTGGAGTCAACCACATCACAGCACATCAAAAGATTACTGGGTATACTGAAAAGTCAGTGAAACATGTCCGGTACAATTTCCCACGTCCCACCAAAAAGCAGACCCCGCTAACATGCAGTTCAGTCGGTCTTCTCGCCGTCTATCACAGTGATCTGTTGCAGGACGGTACGTAAGTCTGTAAGTCTGGTAGTGTATGGTATGATAAGGGCGTGCACGGCGTTAAGTCTGATGGATGACTGATCTATCGTATTCGATTCGTTCCATTTGTCGCTAATTACTTTTAGGGTTCAAACCACAAAATCTGGTTTTGTTATCATCATCCTCCCTTACCAAGTTCGAGAGCTGCCCATGGTAATCATCACCGTGTGACAAGTAGTTTCCATTAAAACTGGTCTTTAGATGACCTGGTCTGCGATGAATGGTCCGCAATGAATAAGCCGTCAGCTGTCGCCTAGGTAGCCTGTGTGCGTAATGATACTCACATCTCACCACACGGTGTGCTGACTGGTTTGTTAATCAATGACTTGTCTAGATCCCATTTGTAACAGCCAAATGGTATCTTCAAATGACACGTAATACCAGAACCTCCAGAAAGGAACAAAATAAAATCGGAGCTGGGTTCCTATACGGTACTACTAATATAAGACATCGATTCACCAGTATAAACCACAACAAATGGTCCATTTGAACTATAAAAGTACGAACCAAATGAGCAAACAGTCTCCCACCTGTACATAAGGTTGACCACAAAATGGCTGGATAACCTGAAGATCAAATGAGTGAAGTGCTAAGGCCAAATAAATGCCAGTTCACTGACACGCACCAAACACAAAAGTGTAGCGGGAGTTACAAATAGGGACAGAGGAAACGTGAAAAGTTTCGGATGTCAAAATAACGGACGATACACCATTGCTTGCCGCAAAGGTGACTAAATGGTACCCTGGATACAAACGCACATGAAGTAAATAGAGACGTCCCCAACTCGGATCGATTCCATTCCCTCACCATTCATTTGTGATCTCGATAACTCGTGAATCTTAGAGCACGAGCGCACAAAGGGGATCACTAGATTTAGTGTAGTACCGTTTGTAACGCATGTGGTGCATTGAAGTCTTCAGCCATGAGAATGCCACAGTTTGTTTGCACGGTACTCCTTCCTTTAGGGGACCCCTTCGGTGTACACTGAACCACCGCCCTGACGAAAGTTTTTTCTCTCGTTGATGGGTGACCACTTATAACCATGTCACATGTGTTACGCATCGAGTTAACGAAATTCCAGTTCTACCCGGATTTGTTAAACCATGCGACAGACTATTTGGCTTCATCTGAAGTGAATGTTACAGGATTCCATTTCAAATAGATCCCCGACATTGACACACGCTAGTGCGGCTGATTGAACTTGTATACTGGTCAGCTGAACTGCGCCTTCTTGTTCGTTTACGAACGAGTGAGTTTACGCCAAATAACTAACACTGAATAGCAACCACAAAACCAAATGATTTATCACGGATATCTATTTCAACATAACAAAGGAAATTGTGATAATTAGCAAGAAACTGAGCAGTAATCACACACTTCCCCATCTCCGGCTAAGCAACGAAAGATAATGTGTCTGTATCCCTCAAAATAATCCAGTCCAGTCAAAATAAGCCGTCGGGTTCGTCATCGTAATGCGTCATCATTGCTTGCGTCATCAGACACGTCAATGGGTATAAATTTGTACACGACACAGTACAGTTTCCTTGTGCTTTCTCCTCTTGTGAGCGTAGCTCAGTTATTAGGGGAGCTCTAAGGCGTTCTCTTCTGGATGGAATTCTTTTACTACTACAGGTCAAAGGCTTCCTCTGGTTAGTCATCCATACTCGCGTAGAAGCTGATAATCACCAGAGCATGGACTTGAAATTTCCTATGTTGGTTGAGGCAAAGGTGTTATCGTATTCCGAAATGCTCTCACCATCGTTCTCATTGAGATACATCAGGTGAGATTGGATACGTGACCATTTGGAGGATAGTCTCAAACTGCTATCTTCGAACTACGAATCTTTTGACCGGTTTGTGCAGCTGATCAATCTAAGTTTCGATCCGATTCTCACTTTTCCACTCTGGGGACTTGTTTATTCCAAGAAGGCGGTAGCAGAAGGAAACTTCCTTGTACGGGTGAATGTTATTATAAGGCTTCCCTTGCCTCTCTTCCCACACTACAGCGCCGGGGCAGCACGGCAGCTGGGCAACTAGATGGTGTTACGGCTGAACGATACAACTTTTAAGTTGGAGACAGCTTAGTGATTGAGCTGAGAACTTACTGATCAAAAGGTGTATAGTTCAAATCCATTCCCGGCACCTCAAATGCTCCTGTGTAGTTTTGGGCAGCCAAGAAGTATCCCAGCCCTCGTTTTTTATTCCGGTGTTATGCCACCTGGGCACGGAAAGGGCTATACAACTGAACGATTAAACGTGATTCGATTTTCCAGGCGGACCCGCTATTTTGCCACTGAACAACCGAAAAAGCTTGCTTCTCTATTCGCAACCACAGAACAAGCTGGATTGAGCGAACTCGCATCCAGCAGAAAGTTCTAACTTATCGGTGTGTAACTGATTCAGCATTTTACTTACTGCTTCAGTCAAGCCTAAAGAGCGTCTGAGAGACTCAGCAGACTGAGGTTTTTTGCCCAAGTATTCCAGCCGTTCGATAGTACCCCATATGAAAAACTTGTGATCCGATACAAGTAATTCGGTTACTCTCGGTGGCGGGAACACCGGTTTCACTGCTATCATCAGTGGCTAAAATAAGTATGCAGTTAATGACGAGACTTTGGTGTTTCAACTGTCTATGTGCAAATGAATCACAAGACACCCGTTGCTTAATTATGTAGCGCGCAACTATCAAACATTAGGTCGTGGACTAGAATCTCTCTAGAAGACCGTAAAATGCATACCGCTAATTATTCTCAACAGTGATGAAGTGGATGTCGACGGCCTACTGGATTTTCAGCACAAATAAGTTTTGTTTGCGAGATAAAAAAAAACTCATGTCATGCTGAAAACTCGATATGCTCAAGTACCAGTGATGTGAAAAGAGGGGAAACCCTTGGAGAAACAAGAATACGTGATCTGGAGAGGCACAGTTTTCGTATCGGCGCTCCAGTAGTAAATTACTAATAACGAGAAGACGAAATCTTCACAAGCTCTACAAAACAGGAATTGGTCAGATGGCTACGGATTGATTGGTCGATAAACAGAAACAGCATTCATATAAGGTCCGAGATTATTTAAATGTTACATTGGGTTTCTTTTACACTGATTTTATCCTTGCGAATGGCGGCTCATGGATCTAGTTCCAGTTTTCACGAAAGTCACAATCCCTCCTCGGTTTTGACAGATGAATGCATTCTGGAAGCTAAGATAGTGTCCCACGCCGAATGAGGTTGCCGGTCGATGGTTATCTAAGTGTTGGGCTAATCCCACTGACACGCTGTGACATGTGAGCAGTTTGATAACCATCCCTGAAAGTCATTTATTGCCTTCATCCCGTCTCGAACTCCTTGTTTCCCAGTGCTGATGAACGTCTTCAAGAATACCGGGAGGGTGGTTTGCTGGTACACAGTAACGGGGATATTCTTTGGCTGCAGCAGGCTCTGTTCAAAAGTACATGCCAAGTGGAGATCACCTATTTTCCATTCGACAGTCAAGTGAGTTTTTTTCCGAGGATGGATATCTTTTCTGTTCACACAACACAGACAGACTAGCCACTGCTCTAGTGTTTTTCGGCTCGTCTTGAACACATCCTCTACTGAAAGCAATCTGTCCCTACAAGATGGCCCGATGTGATTCCCAGTGGACCTGAGCCAAATCACTATTAACAGGACCATTGGTATCTGCTCCGATGGGTCATCTATCCTTAAGGCATTTAGTCCTTAATGCAATGATGGCTGCCTAACAGTCGTAGTGCAAAGAAAAGGACCAGCAATTTATCTTTAAAACAGTCACCATCTTGAATTCACAAACCAAACAAACTCGAATTGCCGTAAAGGAAACTACTCACAAGGTTGCAACACATTCAGTTGTGGAATATCATAAACGAGAAACTCAGTTGAGTCTCTCGTGAAAACCAAATTGATTTACAAATGAGTGTATTTCTCGAAATCGAATTACATTTGAAACAAACCATTCTTTCCTTTCGTGCTAATTTCGGTGGCAAATTGACTTCTAATAGAGACTATCTCACAGAAAATAACCCTGTTTGCTGATCTTGTCAGGTAGTTTGTGAAAAGACAGGGCGCCAACTGTACCCTACCAATATAGTATGATGATATGTCCCTATCGAGCTAGCTACACATGTGTGTTACTCCTTGGTCCGGATGAAATGTGCCCAGGACTTGCTCATTCATTTCCCTAATTTGGAGGTGGTGATTCTTTATCAACATGGTTTGCCTCTGGGGCAGATGGTATCTTCAATAACAAATGTTCAAAGAATTCGTCGTTTAGCTTCAGGTCCTTTGCACCTCACCTGTTGGCGTCAGTAACAGTATGGTGTGCATCTTTGAAGGTCATGTCCGGGAGCAGTCCATGTATTGAGCTTCGGTTCATCAATGGTTCGCCCACGCATGATGTTTCCTCGCCTTATTCGATGAGAAGCAGAGATCCTTCAGTCCCACCATCGAAGTAGATGCTACTTATTTTCACACGGGAAATTGCTCGTAATGTTGCAGGAAGCTCTTCGACAGCCCACAACCTGTTTCGCTCTTCCTGGGGCTCATCACTTGGGCGCTTTCAACGAGTTTCCATCAACATTATGTTCTACTAGAACCCAAATTGGACTGGTTTCGACAAAGACACTCATTTGCAAATCAACTGGGTTTTCGCGGTGAACTCAAATGAATCTCTCTTGTTTATGATATTCTTCACATGAATATGCTGCACAATGGTCGCCTCATGTTTCCGTTGGTACGATATCCTGGGTATCACAGTGTATTTTCATCAAGGAAACTACTCAAAAGGTTGGCGAATATACGCTCTCTGCAAACTTAATTT